CAAGGACTATCTTTATTCATAAACACAAGGAAATATCATCATACATGATTGCCTCTAGGGCATATCTCCAACATAAAGATCTTCGTAGAATATGTCGGAGCCAATATGAGTCCAGGTTTCGCTATTTGTTATTGATCGGAGATGTGTCTCGATCATGTCTACATAGTTCTCGAACCCGTAGGTCCGCATGCTTAACGCTCGATGACGATTTGTATTAAGAGTTATGTGTTTTTGATTACCAAAGTTTGTTCGGAGTCCTGGATGAGATCACGGACTTGACGAGGAGTCTCAAAATGGTCGAGACATAAAGATTGATATATTGGAAGGTTATGTTCGGACACCGGAAAGGTTTCGGAAGGGTTCAGACATTTTTCAGAGTACCGGGAGGTTACCGAAACCCCCCGGGGGAAGTAGCGGGCCTTATTGGGCTTTAGTGGAAAGGAGAGGAGGGCCACAGGGTGGCCGCGTCCCCCATGGAAGGTCCGAATTGGACTAAGCGGGGGCGGTGCCCCCCCTTCTTTCCTTCTCCCTCTCCTACTCCTTCCCTCTATCACCCTCTTGGAAAAAGGAAGGGGACTCCGACAAGGATTGGGAATCCTAGTTGGACTCCCCCTATAGGCGCGCCCCTCCTAGCCGCCGGCCTCCTCCCTCCCTCCTTTATATACGGGGGCAGGGGGCACCCCAAAGCATAACAGACAATCTTTTAGCCGCGTGCGGTGCCCCCCTCCACAGTTTAACACCTCGGTCATATCGTCGTAGTGCTTAGGCGAAGCCCTATGCCGGTAACATCATCAACACCATCGCCATGCTATCATGCTGACGGAACTCTCCCTCGTCCTCAACTGTATCACGAAATCGAGGGACGTCATCGTGCTGAACGTGTGCTGAACACGGAGGTGCCGTACGTTCGGTACTTGGATCGATTGGATTGTGAAGATGTTCAACTACATCAACCGCATTACTAAATGCTTCCGCTTTCGGTCTACGAGGGTACGTGGACACACTCTCCGATCTTGTTGCTATGCATCTCCTAGATAGATCTTGCGTGATCATAGGAAGATTTTGAATTACTACGTTCCTCAATAATGAACAGGTTCAAGTCAATCTGGAGCCTAATGTGGGGGATATAACCCCGTGCTATGACCCACCCAGGAGGAGCCGGTCATATCGTATGCAGCTTATAATTGAAGGCCCAATAAGGCTTACAAGTGGGCTGACTGAAGCCCGTGACCCGGAGATGACTCAAGACCCGAAGGCGTGAGCCGCCTGATGATAGCTTGTCTAACAAGGCGAGGTAATTTAGGGATAGGGTCGGTTACAATGTGTAATATGACCTGGACTCTTGTAAACCACTGGACCTCGACCTGTGTATATAAAGGCGAGACCCGGCGGCGGGTTAACTCAAGAAACAATCAATTGAGAGCTAGGTCAAGCATATTCGCTCCCTTGTAATCGAAACTCAAGCAATACAACTAGAAGTAGGACGTAGCTTTTACCTCGTTGCGAGGGGCTGAACCTGGGTAAATCCTTTGTGTCCTTTGTCCCGTTCAACCCCTTCGAGCTAACCTACATCGCGATGGCTCCACACCTAAGTCCTTTCACAAGGGCATCTGCCGTGACAAAACCACGACACTGGCCCCGACCTGTGTTGATCCTTACCCGGGTTGTTCACCTCCACAACAACCTGACAGAAGCTCTCGCCAGTGCGAGTATCACCAGATCCCGAGGAATCAGAATTGAGTTTCCTTCTTATGGGAATATCCCTCACCCTTGGGTGATCCAGTCGAGACCACACGTCATCACCAGTGCGAATGCCACCCCTATCGCTGGAGCTCCCCGTTGCACCACTCGCTGATCCCTTTCCACTCGGAGCATTGTGACCAGGAGAAGCCCTTAGCCATCCACCCCACTGATCAGACGAATGGATGGGTGGATCACAACGTCCTCCAACATTAACCAATCTCCCACAGTCAAAACAAAAGTGAGGAATCTTCTCATAATAGAAATCAAACCACGTCTTTTCGGTATCCTCCTTAGATTTCTTCAAGTAGAATCCACGGACCAAAGGCTCAAAAACCGAGATCATGGCCCTTACCCTCAGATATCCCCCACGTGCAAATCCATCTTTGTCTACATCCACTTTCACAATGTCTCCAAGCCAGTTCCCGAGCGCCTTACCAAACGCCTCCGTCCTTCTATCCGGGGGCAGATCCAAGACTCTCACCCAAATATCCACCCTCTCGAACACCATCTCCGATGGCCTGATATTGCCCTCTTAATCCTTCACAATCAAACTGCCACGGTCCATTGCTCAAGACATGCTTCCAATCTCCTTCACTCCCAAAGTGCACCATAATTATATTGGGACCAATCTCACTGAACTTCGCCTCCCTATGCAATCACCATGCCCTCGGCATTGCCCTCTACAATGTTGTCTCATCCTCATGGGTCTTGGGGAACAAACCTTGCCAATTGCCGACCAACGACACCGTTTCTGGACGCCAGGATCTGGATCTTCAAAGACAAAACCTTCGACCTCCTTGTCCATCAACACCATGCCACCAAGCCTCTCAGGGAGACTCGCCGCCGGGTCCGGGGTCTTGCTCCCCGCAGGGGACTTCGATGATTCCTTGCTAGCCAATTCGCCCTCCTTCCTAGTCGACGGCGCCGCCGCCGCCCTGGACTGAGCAGAAGAAGACGTCCCCGGACGCGGCACGGAACCACGCTCTGCAGCCCCCGCCATCAGCACCGCTCCATGGCAGGGGAACACATCCTCAACAGCCTAGGAGTAGGGAGACGCAATCGCCGCCCCACCCGTCACTGTAGCCAAACCACCCCCGAAGCCGAAACCCTAATCCTAGCGCAGAAACCGATCGCCTCGCAATCGCCCGTGCCGACTTAGCGTTTCGGAACGTGGTGGACCCTCCCGTTTGTTAGCTTCTTGTAAAGATATCGAGAGAGCGGATGTCATTTCCGAAAGGACCCGATCCTTCTATGCATGTTCGAGGCCTCAAGTGGTTGATTCATACTACGTGCGGAGGATATCTCGTTCTGATCCTTCGGCGCGGACGTTTGTGCACGTGTAGGCGTCACCTACCCCAAGACAAGAACATGCACGATCGGACGGGCCAAGCCGAGCACGACAGCCGGGCCCGAGCGCGCGCGGCACGTCTCCCGCGTGCGCCCGCCCACCCACCGACCACCGCGACGCACCTGCGCTGCCACGGCAACACATTCGTGCACCGACGTACGTACGTACTAGTACCATGTTGTAACCGTCAAGCTGTTTTACCTTTGGCCGTGCGTGTGGTGGGAGGTCTGGAGATGCGGCCGGGAACGCTGCGCGCGCTTGACCAGGCGGATGAGCGATCCTCGGGTAGGTTATTCAACTCGTCGTGTGATCTGACCTCGAGTGTGGAACTCTGGCGGATCCATTGACGCTTCATCGTCAAGGCAAATGATACGCACTCAAGCACATGATGCCCTTTCATCTCTTTTTTTCTCTCTCCCGAAACGGACTCCTACCTCTTTTTGATCAGGAAAGAACGATAGCCAAACGGCATCCGATCGCCGTCCAGTTTTTATACTACTAGTGTTTGCCAAGCACTATGCTATGCATCAGCGGCACAGCTTACGCGCACCCGGCCATGTGAGTGCGTATCACGGCATTCTCTTTCCCCTTTCTGTTGAGCGATACCTATCATGCACATATTTCCGTCCAGTTTCTAGAACGGCAAGGCCAAATGCAGATCATGTCGTTGTGTCTCGTGTGTGATGGCGAAGAGAGACACGGATACGCAGCAGAGCACATCACAAAGATGGACGGCAACGCAATGCAACAACCGGGGCCTGCCTGATCGGCGACAACAAAGCTGCGCCCACAGTGCTCTATCCGATTTTATTGGCCGAAATGAGAACCCGATCCTTATCCCGTGACCCGACCTTTGGTAGGGCAGTGTAGGGCCGTACGTAGGACCATCGAGCCCACTGGCCACTCCATCCCCGGGAGCGGTACACATCTGAAAATCCCGCCAGATGATAACGGTTAGCGATGATCGTGATCGTGAGCACTAATCTGAACTTTTTCTTGTGGGGTGTAAGCACTAATTTGATGAGGTTCCCCAACAACCAGGACGCAGCGAAGTCTCGGTTCCTGGCAGGCCAGCCAGCTAGGGCCACGTTGCCACGCCTCCACTGGTTACAAAAGGCCCAAAAGAAAGAAACGAACGATAGGGAGAAGAAAGAAACACACACCGGCTACTTTGCAACCACCCTGCAATCACATGTATTTTCTGCTTTTGCAATTTTTTAATCGTAATGATGAGATGAAGAAGCCCACCTGTGTAAACACGCCGGCTACTATAAGATCATTTAGATCATCTAAAAAATGATCTAAATGATCTTATATTAGGTTACAGAATTTTTTTATTTTGGAAGTTACAGATTGATCCTCAAATTTGCCGGCGGAAGAAAGTAAACCTGTACGGCGCAGGTGCTAATCTTAGCGCCCGTAAATCTAGTACCAGTAGCGTTTCACGTTCCAAATTTGAAATGCGGATACATCGGCCGGCATCACGATTTTCTCAACCGAAAAGAGAAAATGAAAAGGAAAGGAAAATGGGATTATTATTATACTCGTCAAAAGTACGAAAGCCTAGGCAGTCATTGGCTGGCTGGCAGGCTGGGTGGGCTCCTGGAAAATCTAAAAGAAACAAACGGAACGGAGGAGAAAGGAAGGGATCCATCCCCACGCCACGCACGGCGATTTCTCCTCAAATGTAGCGCCGGGGAAGGGGAAACCAAACCAAATCGCCCCAAGCAAGCAAACAAACAAACCCAAACGAACCGAGGAGAGCACGCTACTGCCCCCAGGCGAATCGAAACCATCCCTGAGAAAACGGGGAGCGGAAAAAAGGCCCTCCAAACCCAGGAGGGAGGGGAGCGCAGCCCCCAACCAATCCCGAGATCCAGCGAGGGCCGCCGCATTGCCGCAGATCGAGATGGCGCCGCAGCTGACCGGCGCGCCCGGCTCGGCGGCGGCGGCGGGCGGCGCCGCGGCCGTCAAGCCGCAGTTCCACCACTACCACCACCACCGCCTGCCCCCGCGCCACCACCACCCGCCCTCGCTCCTCTCCAAGCTCGCCTTCTGGTCCGTCTGCTCCCTCTCGCTGCTCCTCGCCTTCCTCCTCCTCGCCCCCTCCTCCGCCCCCGCCCCGCGCGCCTCCCCCGACTCGCCGCGCCGCTCCCTCCACGCCCACCCCGACTCCGCCGCCACCTGGGGCGGCGCCGCCTGGGAGAAGAAGGTGCGGGCCTCCGCGCGCGTCAGGCGCCCCGGCGGCCGCGGGGGGCTCTCCGTCCTCGTCACCGGCGCCGCGGGCTTCGTCGGCTGCCACGCCGCCGCCGCGCTGCGCCGCCGCGGCGACGGCGTCCTCGGCCTCGACAACTTCAACGACTACTACGACCCCGCCCTCAAGCGCGGCCGGGCCGCGCTGCTCGCGCGCTCGGGGGTCTACGTCGTTGACGGGGACATCGCCGACGCCGAGCTCCTCGCCAAGCTGTTCGACGTCGCGCCCTTCACGCACGTCCTGCACCTCGCGGCGCAGGCAGGCGTGCGCCACGCGCTCGTTGACCCCATGTCGTATGTGCGGGCGAACGTTGCTGGGCTCGTTGCGCTGCTTGAGGCGGCTCGCGCGGCCGACCCGCAGCCGGCGATCGTCTGGGCATCCTCGTCTTCAGTCTACGGGCTCAACTCCCATGTGCCTTTCTCCGAGCATGACAGGACGGACCGACCCGCGTCTCTCTATGCGGCCACCAAGAAGGCTGGTGAGGAGATCGCTCATGTCTACAACCACATCTATGGCCTCTCGCTCACCGCCCTCCGGTTTTTTACCGTATATGGGCCGTGGGGGCGCCCCGACATGGCATACTTCTTCTTCACCCGGGACATTCTTGCTGGTCGGCCAATCACGGTTTACGAGAGTTCCGGTGGAGGCACACACCAGACCACCATTTCCCGGGATTTCACCTACATTGATGATATTGTGAAAGGATGTATTGGGGCTTTGGATACAGCTGGGCGGAGCACAGGCAGCGGCGGCAAAAAGCGAGGGCCAGCGCCATTCAGGACATACAATTTGGGGAACACTTCTCCAGTGCCGGTGACACAGCTTGTGGATTTACTGGAGAAGATGCTCAAGGTGAAGGCCGTGAGGAGGGTTGTCAAGATGCCAAGGAACGGGGATGTGCCGTACACGCATGCTAACATCAGCCTTGCACAGCGGGAGCTTGGGTATCGGCCATCCACTGATCTCCAAACAGGGCTCAAGAAGTTTGTGCGCTGGTATCTTGAGTACTACAATCCTGAGTTGGCTGTGAAGCAGAAGCAGCATGGCAGTAGCAATGGCAAGGGTTCACGCGGTCGGAATGGCAGCACGAGCAGTGCAAGATGACTGACTATTCAGTTTCTGGATGGCCCTCTTCTGACGGTGTGTATCAGAGTTCTAGTCCAGTACTTAATTCATCAGATTTTGAGAGGCCCGTTTTACCCAGCGCCTTCAAGTGAAACGAAACAAGCATGAAGTAGTTAGTGTTGAAAACTGTTGCTTCTGTTTGCTTCCCTGTAGCTGCGCATCACTCCCTAGTTCCATTAGTTGGTTCTTAGGATGACACTGCTAGGAAGATTTTTCAATCATTTTGGGGAGCAGGCTGTGCATTGCAAAGACTACGATAGATTCTTCTAGTGACATTTGTACCACGAGAGAGAAGGAAGTATATCATGACTGTTTCTTTTGTTCAATTGAAGTAGCTTCGATCAATATTTAGTTCTCTCTGGAGTCTGAACCCTATATCTTACTGATATTCATGCTAGTTTCCTGTATGGTGGTGCATATTGCGTGCACTTGTGGTATAAAACATGTCCTTGCCATGACAATCTTAAAATCTAGCTTTTCCTTTGTGGATACGACTCATGTGATGAAGTATTTGTTTTGTCTGTACTGATCAATATTTCCATGATATAGTTCTTATTGGTTTATCATGAATTCGTGAGTGCTACAACTTTTCGAAGACAGATTAATCGTACTCGCTTCTTTGGTCACTGGTATAGCTGATATTATTGCAATTGCAACATGCTCATGTTCATCTGTTTGAATTGTCTGATTTGGCTTTCTGCTTATGAACTACTAGATCTATTAAATGAACTGATACTACTTATACTTTTGATATGTTGATGGTTGAATGCTATGGTATGGGAATTACCAATTGTCTAGGAAACAGAAACATAATTTCAGACTGTCCGAAGGTTTAAGCGGATGGGAAGATCTGATCACTTATTACTATAGCAATCCAGTCTCTTTCTTTACTGCGGGCTTAATTTTTTGTCGGACTTTTATTCATAGAATGAGTTTGTGAGTAAAAATGTCTAGAACTGGAAATGCATTTTCTGATTTGGTCGTTGGCACTGTGAACGTTGCTGATATCTTGGGATGCCATGGTATCATTGCTATGTGGCTTCAATCTGCATGGCCATTTTGATTGTTTGACATTGTCATGACTAACAGTTAAACAGAGGTAACTATCTTCAAGCACATTTTTAATTCTTAGTATATCACAGCAATTAAGTACGCTAAATAGCGCGAGCTTGGTGTTTGCTTGGCTACCACCTTTCAGGCACATTTTATTCACCATCTTAATGCTTACTCTAAACAGAGTAAATAGCTTTGAATTTGCTTCATGTGCATGTGAAGGGATGAGAGGCGACGCGTGCATTAGCAACTGCATGTGAGCAGGTCTAAATATCGTGCCCACTAAGTATTCTTTAGGATAAGTTCTTTCCTGAATAGTTGACTACCGGAACTCTTCCTTGTGCGTCAGTCCTTCCTGATGTGTTCTGTCCATGTGCCTTCCTCCTTTCCAGGATTCTCCATCGCCATGTGCTCTCTCCTTTCTAATAGCTGCCGAAGGATTCTAAACCTCAAATTGCAGCCTGGGGATCATCAAAAGTCCGCAACCCCGGCATTGGCCACATCACTCTAGCTAGAATTAGCAGTTGGAGCTGAAGACCGGTCTGTTTTGAGACCGTCAGTTTGCAACTGCATTGACGCGCAAAGCTTTCGCGTGTTTGCAAAAAAGAAGAAAAACTGTCAGTTTGCGAGTCTTTGTCATTCTAGTGCCCACGTTTGTCATATTTTTTTCTGCCCAAATGGCCATTCTATGCAACACGCCAACCAGTTCATTTAGAGTCTACAAGGTTATCATGTATTCTTGTCTTGTAGATAATGCCCTGGCGTTCAGATATGAAAAAAGTTCATGCTGTCGCTTTCAGTTTCACTATTGATAACCGTAGCATTACAAGTAACACAGTACTTAGATTATTTGAACCTTTTTGTTAAAATCTGATTATTTGAACTCTGAGCTCCACTGATCATTACGCTTTTCCTCTGTATTTTTATTGTGTAGATAGGTTATCATGTTCGACCCAACTGCTTTACAGTTTCATGATTCTGATCTTTCCAGCGTTGTCCTAGCTAACATGGAGCCTTGAATACTTGGCATAAAGGAAAACTAGTCTGGTAAAAGAATCATTTGAACAGTGTGAAGTGAAAAAGATTGAATTCTATTTTTTACCGTGTATTTTTGTCATCGTGATAATTTTTACTATATTAGAGAAATTGTGTCATTTTTACCATATTAAAGAGACACAGTTGACAGTTCCCTTCGGTGTCAGATTTAAAGGATTCACTCATTGGTTTCCCTTTGATTCCCTTTGTCACTTCTTTTCAGCAAGCATTTCTCACCAAAAGCGATGATGAAAAATCTGCTCTTACCGCTTCTTCTTCTTGACCTGCCCCCTCACAATTTTTCTTTTGAAGCAGTGCTGCACTAGTTATTTTTGTACGGGAAATGAAGTAGTTCTGGACAAATCCTAGCATACCAATTCAGTTGGTTTAATCGATTATGCAAGGGCGTGTTTGGTTGCTCGCATCTGAGCCAACCAGGCCTGCGCGAGATCAAGCCGCACGAAACTTAAAGCAGGCCGCACGAAACTTAAAGCAGCTCTGGGCCTGTCCACGAGGGATCGCACGAATTAGCGGGTTTTGCCGAGCCAGGCTCGCTAAGCCATGCGTGCCTGTCCGCTGCATGCATTGCGAAGAGTGGGAGAGGGACGAGACGTCTCATAACTCCCCTCCCTTTCTCCAGTCACCTCCACTCTCATTCACACCGCTCTCTCTCCACCCCCCTCGCTGCTCCTTCGTGCTCTCCTTCAATGGCACGCCCGTTGTCGCGCCGCCCCCACCCCCATCATCGTCGGCAGCAACCCAACCCAAGACCGGTGGGTGTCCAGTCTCTCCAACAACGTCATGGACCTCATGGCGGCCATTCCCGCGCCGTCCCCTTTTTGCCCCAGGTTGCGTCCTCCGGCCGATGCGGTGTAGGCTGTTCTGCCTTCGCCTTCGTATCCGGATCTATTGCTCTTGGGCCCGAGTGCGGCGCCGGAGGGAAGCCCATCGACCACGACGGCGACAGCGGTGCCCAAAGGTTTTTTTACCCCCATTCGGGGTTTTCTCTGGGGAACGCGGCATGGCCATGGATGATGGTGCCCTCTTCCTCTACCTCGTGCGTCATCAGGAGCACCGGCGCATCGGCTCTGGCCTTGGGCATGGCCGGGTCATCCTCTTCGGGCCGCCCCGCGTTCCTGCCAGGGTTTGCTCCTTGGCCGGCCTACACTCCAACGACAACCACTCCGGTAAGTCTCATTTTTCCACTTTGCTCGTAGATATAGTTTAGGGTTTGTGTTTAGTGGGTACTAGGATTGGATTGGATTCAATCCGATTGCAAACAAATTGATTCGAATCCAATCAATTGTTGTTACTGATAGTGTAGATGGCACCTGCCTCGGGTGTGGATGCAAAATTGCTGCATGATCATGTGTTCATGTTAGATTGTTACATTAGTGATCCTCGGGTGCTGATGCTAGATTGGTATCGGTATTGTGGTAGTGATACTTTGTTGTTCCTAGATTTGTGCTTGTTGTTCGTTGATGCTACATCGGTTGTGCTACTGCCACTGATTCATGTTGTTCGTAGTTAGGGTTTCTGCATGATCATAGTACGTGCATGCTGATTAGTGTTGGTAGGATCAATGTGCATGCTCATATATGTTGTAGGACCAATGTGTTTGCCCATACAGGTAGTAGGAACAATGTGAATGCTACCAAATTTGATCCCATTTCTGGCGCTTCTGAACATACCACTTGTGCATGCCGCCAAATTTGTAACTGCCACTCATCAGTGGCAATTGCCAACCATGTAGTGCTATGTTTAGATCATATCACTGATGATGGGCAACTGCCACTGATCAGTGGCAGTTGCACTTGCTATGTTCAAATCATAGCAATGATTGTTTACAACTTGCACTCGTCAGACACAATTGCCAATGATCAGTGCAATGACCTGATCATGCTTTGTTACTACCACACGTCGTATTACCTGGCAAGATCGTGAAGTCGGAGTGGGACATAGCCAGTGAAGGAGCTTAGGTGGTGGCTAGCGCCGAGGACGCTGAGGACCTGATCCCGACGAACTGGTGGCTGAAGAGGGTGCAACTGCCTGCCAGGGTCGCTCCCATGGGCCAGCCGCTGGGCATTGGACGTAGGCCGATGATCGGCCACGAGGAGGGGGCACGAGAGCTACTACGCTTCTATGTCCAGATCAAGGACGAGGATCATTGCTACTCCTGTAGGATTTGTTGGATTCCCCAATGAGGAAAGGTGATGTAGCACAACAGCAGAAAGTATTTCCCTCAGTTAAGAACAAAGGTTTATCGAACCAGTAGGAGTCACCACATTAACAATGTAAACAACACGTGCACACGAACCAAAAAATAAATGCTTGCACCCAACATGGCAAGGGGGTTGTCAGGCCCCTTGTCTTGCTAGTTACAAGATTAAAAGCAAACAAATAGTGGTATAGGTAAAATGACAAGTAAAGAAAAAAATAAAAGAGCATAATTTATAGAAGCTTGTATTAATGTAGAATGGACCCGAGGGCCATAGGTTCATGAGTGGCATCTCTCTCGAAAAGGTAGTGGCATGGTAGACAAATTACTATTGGGCAATTGATAAAATAGTGGCAATTTATTACTATGATCATTCATGGCATAATCTCACATAGGCATTACATCTGTGATATGTAGTCCGTTAATCCAACTGCATCTACTACTATTACTCCACCCCAATACCACAGCAGACATCTCAAATATTAAGTTCTGCAATAAACAGAGTAACACAATAAGCAAGATGACATAATGTAGACCGTAAGAAATCTAGCAATAATATTAAACCCCGTCGTTTTATCCTTAGTGGCAACAATACAAATACATGTCTTGCCCCTTTCTGTCACTGGGATAAAGAAATCATCGTAAGATTGAACCCACTACTATTCACCACTCC